TGTTGCAAGGAAAAGGGAGGAGCAGCTTGGTATAATTCATCTCATAACCGCAGGAAAATTCTGATATAAATCAACTACAAGTTAAAAATTTTCATTACACAAACTTATAATTTTCATAGATCTCAAGAAAATTGTAACCTTAGAAACTAATCTTGGTACGTCAGGCACTTATCAAAAGTAAAGTATTATTACAAGAAATAAAGCAAAGTATTATTACAAGAAATAAAATGGCTCTCTTACCCTGTCCGTCAAAGATGGGATGTAAATAGTGGGCATGTCGAACCCACATTTGTTGAGGCCAGGCCGCTTGCATAGTTCTTGTGTAATTTGCATCAGAACTCTTTGACGGTCACTTTCAGTTCCAGCAGTATCAGCTTTGCTCAGAAAGAATCTGATTTTGTCTGAATCATGTTCATTCAACCGCTCTTTAATAAAAAAAGAGGGGCTTGACACAAAAACCAAAATGTACAACGCTTGATGGATTCAAAAGTAATGCGACTTATAGCGTTTATATTTACACTAAAAGTTTAGGCAGATAAACTCGGCTTGACCTGACCCAATAAATCTATCGCAGGCGGTTTAGTGAACCCAAAACGCATCCGACTAAATTGCGTTCATATTACAGGTCTTGTACATTAGTTGTTCCACAAACAGATAGGAACGGATACTCTCAAACTCAGCATGGACACTCCGAGCAGATCTATATCAGGGGTATTACAGGGGGTAATTGAATAATACCACTCATTAAACGTTTAACAATTGTAAAGTTGCCTAAGAAAATATCATTGTCGTGTAATGGATGAAAGTGCGATGTGTTGTGCTGTTGTCGCTTTACAAGAGGCCGGATTCACAAAGAGAGCTTCAGGTTTAGTTTGACAATGTTAAAAGAGGACTTTTTAGGTTAACATGTCATGTGATGAAAAGGCAGTGCATCTTTGGAAACATTTGATCAACATTTGATCTTTACATCCTTCATCACATATTACTCACTTTACTGAAACATGTACACTTACCAACAATGTTCAATGTGCGTTTGCAAAGAGCTTGTCCAATCGGATCGAAGAAGCAAAATATCAAATCACACAGTCCCCCTGAAACAAAAAGTTTCGATAATGTTCAATGCCATTCTAAATTGCTATATTTCCAGAATGAAAGTGAAATTCACATAATATTTCTTTCAAGAATAGACATGAGTTGCTAAGTTTCTGTTTCACATAATCTGCTCTCATCCTGGCAGAAGAACTTCAAAAGGTGGAATAAAAATAAATGCACTGTGTTATTTGGTCCTCTAAGTTAAAGTGAACAACTAAAGTAGCGAGATGCAGAGGGACCTCAGAAGCCTTCCAAAGCTGAGGGGCACAGGCAGGAAGGGCAAAGTGTCTCAGAAAAAGAGGCACCTTTTTCAAACATCTAGAAGAAGAAAGAGGCGCTGGATAAGGCCATTGATCGGATTCTATAAATCATGCATTGAATAAACTGAGGCAGGAACAACGCAAACCAACGAAAAGCAACCCAATGTAAATAAAATAAACTTCAAAAAAGTTTATAATAGAGGGGTTAATCAGAGTAAATAAAATGGACTGAAGCAAACAATATTTTTATATGGACCCTGCAAAGATCTTGAGAAAGTAAAGATAAAGGACCTCCGGTGAAAAATCTTGCAGGATCCTGGATAGGATCCTCGCAGGATCCTCACAGGATATTGGTAAAGGATCCTACAGGATCTTGTACAGGATTCTGTACAAGATCCTATAGGATCCTGATAATAATAAAAGCAATCCTTATAAGATCTTGATAGGATCCTATGTATTTCTTGAATCTTTGTGAAAAATCTTGCAAGATCCTGCACAGGATCGATATAGGATCCTGTTTAGGATCCTGCAAGATTTTTCACCGGGGACTTTTATCAAGAAAGTTTAGCATTCTTATTCTTTAGACAAAATGTTGAGCAATAACTGTGTTTACTCACCTAGCCATTCAATTGACTTGTTGACATCAAATGGGTAAAGCATATCCCCATCCACCAAGCCTGGTGTATCAACAAACATCACTAAGTTGAACTTCTTCTGCTTTGATGTAGAAATTTCAGTTGATACATAATCTCTGACTCCTCAAAACAAATAAACAAATGCTAGTTAATAAATTGAAAAACCTTTGTTGAAGTATAATGCTATATGTCTAAATGCTACTTTCCAAAGTTTCCATGTTATATATGAAATAAACAAGTGCAAGAAAAGTAAGGGCTCAGTCTGGTTTCTATGAAGTAAGCTAAACAAGGCTGGTTGCTACGAAGTCCAAAACATCAGCACACAGTTGTTTTTTATGAAATCAAAAGCAAAAATATCTTAATGCAACATAACAGTATGTCATTTTCAAGCATTTAAGTCAAACATGATGGTTCATGATGCTGGAAAATAGTTTTATGAAATGGTATCATTTATTGATGAAACAATGAAAACTTGTAGATTGTGAAAACTTTGACCATTAAGTCCCAAAGAATACTATAAAATTTCCAAAATCTTCACAGCCAAAGGTGACTGAAATGTACTAAAAGATTGCTAATGTTTATGTTTATGATTTTACAACCAAGGTCAAACTAAAGTGATTAATGAGGACATGAGGCAAGGCTTGACATCAGCATACGTGGCTTCTGGCAGAAGGAACAAAGTGCATTTTTTGATGTAAGGGTATTCAACCCATTCGCACCGTCATACAGAAACCAGAAACTAAACAACACTTTTGCAGGGAATGAAAGAGAGAAGAAACGCGCGTACAGTCAAAGAGTTTTACAAGTTGAGCATGGTTCTTTTACGCCATTGATTTTGGCTCACAGTGGTGGTTCAAGTAGAGAAACTGAAAAGTTTATATCGGTTTTATCAATGAAGATATCAGAGAAACGTGATCTGTCAATTTCACTGGTTACCAATTGGATTCGTACCAAGCTGTCATTTGCACTACTTCGAAGTGCCATACTGTGCATACGCGGTTCCAGAAATAGGCAAACAAAAGTTCAAGTGGACACAGCCAACATAGAAATTGTAGAAACAATATCCCGGATTGATTAGTTAAAATTGTTGGGAAAAATAAAAAGATTCAAGTTTTTCAAGTTTTGTTCTAAACATGTGTGAACCAGCGGCCTTTTGGTATATAAACAGCGCCAAATGTTGAATCATTGATGAGAATTTATTTGTTCAAAAATTAATGAGGACATGGGCATGTGGCTATTCTCTGTTCCATTCTTTACACACAGCAACTTTTCATAGAATTAATCATTCTGACAGATCATAGGCTAAAAATTATAAAATTCTAAACAAAGAATTCAATGATTTCATCATTTTGCTAATAAAGAAAGCAACAGAATAATAAGAGTTTTATAAAAGTTTTGCTAGGACTTAACAAATGATAAGAAAAAACAAATTCACCAACCTATTGTTTAACTACAAGCATTAAATGCAAATTTACCTTCAATTTCTTGCAGAGGCTTGAAGTGAGGGAACAAATGGAATGTTGCATTTCCCTATGTAAGAAAAAATGGTCAATATGTTATGCAGCTCTTTTTGTGAGTGTATAACCCCCCTGTCTCAAGGAACCTTGGCCACTCTAAAAAGACTTTAATAAATTTATCAATTCATGTTTCTAAACAATGAATACATGTCAGATTTTCCATTGAATTGGAAAACATGGTGCTTTGTGCTTATCTCGAGCAAAAATTCATGTATAGGACACAAACAACTAAAAACTATAAAGGGTAACTATAAACACAAACAATAAACATCATAAAGTAAGTGGCTTTATTAGAAAAGTAAAGTAAAAGGGTTATTTGATGTTTCTTGTAGGATAAAGTAATCTTTTGATACTAGAGGAAAATTTTGTAAATTGCCTTCTAATATACATATAGATAGAAAGGTACACTATTTCATGGATAGAACAGGACAGTTCTAAGTTGCTCTTCCAAATTTCACACTTAATGTGATCATCAGGCAACTGGTGATTTATGACGGCCTAGAGCACTTTATGAATGACTGGTACAGTAATTTCATTGGAAAGAATGTCATAAATGTTTCTGGTCTGTTATATACTGCTTGATGCTGTAAAGATAGAGCTCTAGACCAATTGGTATGTGGGAGCATAGAACCATCTTTTTCTACCCACAAGTTAGAGGATTAGATTCTAAATATCCACATCAAATTGTTAATCAATTGGTGAATGAAATATTTATGAGCGTCAGTCAATTTCTGAATGTCAATGATACTGTCAAAACTTTAGATTCCCTTACAGTGAGTGATTCTCTTTTCTTTCCACTGGTAATAAATGTGAAGCCTTGGGTTTCAATTGCAACACCAGTTTTCTGGATATGTTCTTCAACATACCTGGCAATGGAATAGAGAAAGTGGCTCATTGGAATGAAGAATAGATCTTAAGTTTCAAGGAAAAGCAGCAAAAACAGAGGTAGATCTTTTGTCTGACACTCTGAAGAGTATAAATTGTCAGAACAAAGATAAAAAACTCTACATTAGGAAATACATATATATCTAGTTGTGGATCAAAATAGGCCAATCAGAAACATTAGCACATGACTGTTGGGGTTGCCCAATCAGTGCTGCTTGCCTATTGAGAATGTTACCAATAGAATGCTAAGGTGAAACAACTCCTTCTGTCTAAACAATAGCGTTTTTTGTGCTTATGTTTTTCGAGCTTTAGTATACTCAAATGTTTGCTTTTTTCAAAGCCATGGTGAATTTCTGTAACACCAAAAGATTGTTTAGATATTAACCAGTTAATAAAGGAACTTTTTCCTGCTGAGTGGTTTCCCATAAGCATAA